AGCAAAAACATAGTGTGTCGAGGAATTAAAGGCCGCACCGGCCGGCCAGGCCTAGTGATTTTTTTTTTCTTTTGAGTGTTCAGTTTGGTAGAATATTAGGATATAAAAATAACCATACTATGTTTTTCCGTTTGTCTATTCATGGAGAAAACCCTGTGGTCTCTATATGACCACTGCTCATTGCACAAAAATAATGATATGATACGGACAACGTATGTTACCAATGTCCAGAAAGTCATCTGCAAAGCTTAAGGGTAAGACTGCCATCATAGCAAATTATTCACTGATATAACGAAACAACGCTTGAACCTAGAAAAATGTTTTTTATATTATTGGGGATAATTATCGAAACAAGGTGCTGAACAGAGCAGAACTTGAGATATTTTGCACATTATTTTGACATAATATTTTTCACATGATCTCTGTGGGTTTTTTTTAACTGCAGTAGCTGCATCGTTTCCTGGTGCCTCGGCCCTCGCATGGTGCCTTCTTATCAAATGGGCAGAGGTCATATTGGTGAAGATCACAAATTTGACGGCATTTATCTCCGAAAGTATCAATACTAAGATAAATAAAAATATAATAAAAATAAATACACTTATATATTTATTTTATGGGTTGGCTCGACTGAGGCAGGACTACGCTTTTACAAAATACCAGCGTAAAATAGCAGCTTAATACTGCTGTGTTTTGTATGGTGAGTGTTGAGAACCGGAGAACCTTTTTGAGATGGCGACACATATGCATTTTTTATAGGATAGGGACACAAACGAGCACACAGTCCACCAGATGGTAAATGGTTGCTGTGGCCCATAGACATCTACATCTATCCTCGATTACGAATCAAAATGCAGATACGTTGTCACCCGTGAGGACTAAGATGGAATGCCTCGTTTCCAGTAAAAAGGGTCTCCAGTTCTCTACACTCACCATACGAAACACAACAGCATTAAGCTACTATTTCACGCCGGTATTCTGTGAGAACGTGGTCCTTCCCCGGACGAGCCGACACTTTCGTGCTACAACTATACTTCTAATATAACTGCAGCATGGCTTTACCACGAATAAAATATATAAATATATATTTTGTTTCTTAATCGAGAATATATGTTAACGTCTATGTGCTAAGGCATCCACTTATAAACAGATGGACTGTGTGTTCGGTTGTGATCTTTATTCTATATAAAAAATGATAATATAAAAAAAATCTAAATCGTTACTCTTGACAGGCGTATTCACGATCGCAGTACCAGAGCGATCGAACGTCGGTTTGAGTATTTTGCGCTTATTATAAAGAGGTTGTTATACCACCATCTACTGGAAATTTATGCTTATTGTAAAGAGGTTTTTATACCGCATCTACTGGAAATTTATGCTTATTGTAAAGAGGTTTTTATACCGCCATCTACTGGAAATTTATGCTTATTGTAAAGAAGTTTTTATACCGCCATCTACTGGAAATTTATGCTTATTGTAAAGAGGTTTTTATACCGCCATCTACTGGAAATTTATGCTTATTGTAAAGAGTTTTTTATACCGCCATCTACCGGTAATTATAAAATGTTTCTGTCGTTTCCTATACTTTAAAGAGTACAGACTGTGTATTAAAAAGTGTCCATAAAAAACTTTAAATAAGGGTGGCGCCTCTATAGCTACGGGGTAAATTTTAAAGAACGCACCGAAAAATATTAGTGGGATAGACGTCTTTTTCAAGGTTATATTTACTAAATAAAATTATTTTAGATTGTAGAACTACTGAGCAGTTTAGCAGCACACTTAAACCGTTGACAACTGCTAAGTTTATTTCATCCCAGTAGCTACTCCAGCGCTGTTGTGGAGAGCTTTTGAGATGTTAGGTATTTACAGTTTACAGATGGCCACTTTTTCAACTATTCTACTATGGGAGTTGGTACTCCTTACTTCTACACTCCATACTTGTCTCTTACGTCACTTATGAAACCAAATCGTGTGATAAATTATTTTACAATGATTTTATGCATATTTATACTTATTGTAAAGACGTTGTTATACCGCCATCTACTGGTAATTATAAAATGTTTCTGTCGTTTCCTATACTTGTCTCTTACGTCACTTATGAGTCCAAATCGTGTGATAAATTATTTTACAATGATTTTATACATAAATAAATAAAAAAAAAGACGTGTGGCACTCGGGGACTGCCGCGGTAAAGCTATTGCATAGCATTTTGTATCAACTTATGCAATTATAATTATTTATTTATTTTATTTATGCAGTATTTCTTTTTCTTTGATATTAATTCAAGTTACTTAGGTTAATCCAATCAAATTCAACCAAATTTAACCGAACCCGCGTTATAACGAACTCACTATTTGTGAAAAATACTGTATCACCGGACCGCGTCGCAAAAAACTCAGGTTCGCGCAGTACATACGTCAGGGCGGCCGTACGGCAATTATAACAAGACCTACATATTTATTTATCTATGAACAAGACGCGCAACTACTCAGTTCCACGCTCCACGGCAAGATTTGTCACTTATTATTTATTGTCCAATTAATTGTCTTTAAGTTCAAATGGCACGCTCTATTAACATAAGTCTAAGACAAAACAAGGAGACTTTCAATATATGAACAACCCGGCTAAATGGTTATTAAAAAATAAAATCAAAATAATGAGCAAGTAAATTATGAATATTAATGTTATGAATATATTTGAGTGATTTCGAAGCATATAGATTAAGTAATTTCGTTGTAATTTCAACTATAGTGGTTTTTTAGAGGTGTTTTCGCAAATAATTATGATCGAGTCAAAATTATACTATCGTGTTTTTGAGCAATCAAATTCAAGATAAAGACATGAATTTACCTATATCAAAATTTCACTTCCCTTCGTGGTGTCATAGTCCTATCAATTATTTTATTATTATAATAGTACATGATATTCCCTTTAAAATGACACCAATATGAATAATATCTTATATCTATATCTACAAATAAATAAAATTGAAGTGTCTGTTTGTAATGTTAAAATAACAGCTTTTTATTAAATGCATATGAAAGTACTAGTAACAAAAACACAATTTTTTAAAATTTTTATCTGTCTGTCGGTCTGTCTGTCTGTCTGTTTGTTCCAGCTAATCTCCGAAACAGCTAGATCTATTTTGACGGGACTTTCACTGGTAGATAGCTGATGATATAAGGAATAACTTGAACTACTTTTGTTTTAGAAAAAGAATTAGGGTTCCGCGCAAAAAAATTACAACCCATGAAATCCATATTCCACGCGGGCGAGATCGCGGGGGAATAACTAGTACTCAATATAGATAAATGTATACTTATTTTTATTTATTTATTATTTTAATAAATAAATAAAAATAAGTATTAATAATTTCTAGACACATCTCAACAGATATTTCGTTAATAAATTGCTATCAATACTGAAGCATTCTTTTATATTTAGCATCCATTTAACACAAAAAAAAACTGATAAGAATACTTTTTAAACAACATATAATCAATAAACGATAATCGCGTATAGTGAATTTCGAGGTAAATTATTATATGTAAACGTTTTTGAATCGTCGTAATGATACATATTTCCTAAAGAAAATATCTCCAAAATTAATTTGATGTAAAATAACATTAGAAATAACGTATAAAAACGGAGAAATTATCAAATTTTTGATCGAGTTCCTAACCAGTACACAAACAAAAATGGCGAAATATCATTTTCAGATTTTTTTCTATATAGTTATTTGTTACAGAGTACACAGATAAAATTCACTCTCACAGATGACAAATTTCAAACACCACAATCTCTAATTGTTTTACTCTGCTATCTTCAGCGCAGTACACGAACGGAACGATGTCGTTGAGAGCCGTGGTAGCTCACATGGTTAGCGCTCGTTATAGGTATCACAGTACGGGAGCAACCCGGGTTCGATCCCCACTGGCACCAATGAAATTGTTGCGTGCTGATTTAGCTATCAGTTGGAAAGTCTGTTTTTCTGGGCCGTTTTGTTTTGTTACACTGACATCTCGCAAGTCACCTAGGGACCTAGGAGGTTGTCGGTTGCTTATTTTTTATTTTTCTTTAAAATTTTCGTCGGTAAAATAACATATTTATAAAAGTAAAAAAAGTAAAGTTACAGCCTATATACGTCCCACTGCTGGGCCTCCTCTAATTTCTGAGAGGGTTTTAAGGCAAGGAAATGTCCGCCACGCTGCCTCAATGCGTGGTGACGAACTTCACATTTCTTCGAAATATATATTTTTTTAATTTCTCAGACATGCGCTACCAGCATGCGACGACGCGGCCCGCGCCTTGCCGCCACTTGCGTTTGCCGCGCTTTGTCTCGTCACAGAGTGGCGAAATCACAGTAATATAGGTATTTTATAAACAGCACCTGTCTAATATTATGAAATATGTAGATAAAACTTAAAACTTACCTTGATAAATGTATACCCTTTTGTTTGTAATATTTTTTTAGACCTCTCTTCAATCGTTTCTGCTTATTCCCCATGTTTTACAAACTAAACTTAAACATTAATAAAACTGTACAATTAATATAACTATAAAACACTACTATTAAACAAGAATCAGAAAAAACCTACTCCACTATTAACAAAATTAAATTTTTGCAGTAATATTTTACGATTTTATTTCGTAGTGCTAAGCTCTCGCAACGCGGCGTACGTCCACCTAGCAACACGATGCGCCCCGCACTGAATTCGTGGATGAATGCGGGGGTGATATAGACGCAGTATTTAATCGGAACGCATTTTTAATTTATTATCATAAAAATAATACATATTTTTAAAAAGTAACCAAACCAAATTATTTTATTTTGTATTGCAAAGCAGTAGATATTTTTTTTATATTCCTTTGATAAACAATGAAGGAGTAAAGTGGTTTCATCTCAACGATTTGGAGGTGATTTAGGTATTTTTTTATTTATTATGTGACACCGATAGAAAAATTACGGCTAAACCAAATCACGTATCAGATCATGTAGATTACTAGCTATTTTTTTCATATGTAATTTCTCTGTAAGTGTCGACGAAAAGTTGGTTCATCTGCACGCTTTTTTTCAAGCTTTTTGCGAGAGAGCAGCCTTAATAATAAATGCACTTTGTTCATTCATATTCAAAATTTCAAAACACTTTATACACAAACACCGTGTCGAAGACTGAGGAGAAGAAACGACGTTAGACCATCGTTAGACAATGCACGGCCTTCAAGCCACACCTCCGTGCCCGTCGGAGAGCATGAGGTTTTTTTCGTTACGAAATTTCAGGACTTTACCGCACTCAAGGCCCGCGATAGAAGCTATGCAATAGCTTAACTAGTAATCCACCTAAAAATACTAAAGTAAAATATAGGAAAATCAGTATGTATACACATACATAAACACTCACGCCTGTCACCCAGAGGGGTAGGAAAAATTTACAGACTTTCATTTGGCACGATACTGACACACCTCTCTTACCTCCTTCATTCATACTTACGCATACATGCTCGTCGGTTAAGGGTATTCCTAATTTGGCCCGCTTTCAATATATCGCCAATTTGGTCGATAAACTTTCGCCTAGAACGTCCCATTCCAACTCTGCCGTTCACTTCTGCAACATAAATTTGCTTTGTCACTCTTTCCTCATTCATGCTTTCCACATGACAAAACCACCGAAGCATTTCTTTCTTAATCCTGGTCACAACATCATCTTGTAAACCACACTCTTCTCTTATTCAATTTCTCACCCTGTCATTCAGATTCAGCCCTAACATACTTCTTAACGACCAGATGATGATAGATGATAATCCAGATAATAAGCTAATTAATAAGTTTGAAATAAAAATATTTATTCTAATAGGTGGTTGAAAAAATATTGCAATAGAAAAATGTTATAATTAATAAAGATAAAAATATTTTTAAATTTTCAAGGAATAGTTAAAAAAAATAACTGGAGATTATTGATAAAGAATTTCTTTTTCTTTGAAGTTATATTATTATATATATATATATATATATATATATATATATATATATATATATATAATATCGTTAATGCGAACACGGTTAACACGAATTTTGGTTGGCGAACAAAAATTTGCTCTAGACAATAGTTCCATAAGCTTCAATGTAATTATGTTCGCTTCAGACGAACCCTCGTTAATCCGAATTTCGAACAACTTTTTCGTCCCTTCATGGTTAATTATCAGGATAATACGAACTATAAAAAATTCCAAATCATGTATTTTATATTTTTGTCCTTTTTCGGTCAATACAAATACCGGTCAACAATGGCTGAAGAGATTAGAAAAGTCATTAACTCGAGTTTCTAAAAATAGGATTAGGATATCAAACATTCACTCGAGTACCTAAAAATAGAAACAATACCTCAAATTTTCTTTCCGTCTTACAGAAGCTACTGAAAAGGTTGTAATCTTTTGAAAACTAATTAACAAAAGCAAAGGCTTCTTAACAATTTGGCTTTGTTAAGAAGTGTACATATAAACTGATGTTTGATGAACACTCTTCAGTTCTTCAAGATGTTTGAGCGAAAGCAGACCTCTCTTGACGTGCAAACTAAGTACGAAATTTTGACTGAAGTTGATCGCGGTATCTTGTTGAAAACTGCCGTAGCCGAGAAGTTCCAAATTCCAAAATCTACTTTGTCTACCATTCTGAAAAATAGAGAAAAGATAGAGAAAGCTATCGCTTCTGGAAGTACCAACAGTCGTTCGAAACGTTTACGTACGGCTACCCATGAAGACATAGAATCGCGATTATTTGCATGGTTCAATCATATGCGGTTTTTTTTGCGCCCGAAGCAAATATGGGCAACCCTCCGGAAAGCGGGGGAGCGTGGTATGCTCATAGCATACCACCAGCGTGGTATGCTCATAGCATACCACGCAGCCGGCTGCGTGGTTATGTGGAGACTTTTACCCGCTAAACACCGCCTTTTAGGGACTGGCTTAACGGTCTAACTAGAGATCCCTAAGCCGTAAACGAACGCGACCCTCCTTGGCAGAAAGGAGGGCGCAAGTGGCGAAAAGCCGCTTGGAAGTGTGCCTAATTAAGGCAGATTAAGGGATGTGTTATGTCGGCTCGGCCTGAGCCGCCAGGAGGCAGTTCAGGTCAGCCGAAAGCTTGTTGGGGGGGGGGGGTTCGAGAGAGTTTCTCGGTCTGCGCACACTATAGCGAGTGTGGGTAAGGGCTGCATAGGCAGTTGTCTCACGAATGAGATGATTTAGGTGGGACTCTGAGGCTTTGAAAAATCTCTCAGAGTGTGATTTAAGGAACAGCTGGATTGTTCGGAGCTCTAAGTCTCGGTGTAGGTCGGCATCATCATCATCATATGCGGTCAGAAAACATACCATTGAGCGGACCCCTTGTGAAAGAAAAGGCACTCAAAATTGCTGAAGATTTGGGAATCAGTGACTTTAAATGTTCGAATGGATGGTTATGGAGATTTCAACAGCGGCACCGAGTTTCTTCATGGACCACGGGTTTGAATGAAGATTTGACTATGGGTCTGAATGACAAGACCCGGGATCCAGAAGTAGCCCTGATCCCAGATCAACACGAGTCCAGTGATGAGAGCGATATCGAAGAAGTCATCCCACCAACGTCGAAGGAGGTCAGAGATGCACTCGATATTTTTCTTCGCTATGCAGCGACGAACAACGTTTCAAACGCATTTTTAGATGGCATGGAAACAATCAACTTCGAATGTGCACGCAAACTCCGACCAACTTATCGCCAAAACAATATCGAAATTTATTTTATGAACAAATAAAAACAAACAGTCAAAATCGGATAATACGTAATAATAATAATGTTAAGTTAAAAAAATTATTGTAAATATTAAATAATAATATCTAAGTTATTAATAAAAATGTTTCTATAATGAATCATATTATTGAGTTTAGAAACACGAATTCATTTTTTGCATTGTTCGGATTACACGAACTCCCCTGTAACACGAACTATTTGTCTGATTTTTTCGTGTTCGTGTTAACGAGGGTTTTCTGTATACATATATATCACAGACTACTACCACTTACTACTAAACTTCCCGGAGCGTTCACGCTTCACGTCTAAAGTGGGTATGGTCAGAAATCCTCGCAAAGATAATTCGTGAGGTTCATAGATATATTCTAACGTTAGTTTGAATTTTAAAGCAAACATAATTATTTCAATAGACAAGGTAAATGGGTACCAGTTAATAATAATATCAAAAAGAAACCCAAGAATACCAACGCAATACTTCAAGATTCAATTAACGCATTTTGCCTAAAATTTAATACATTTTTTAGTTTAATTTAATTTAATTACATGTATTAAAATTCGTAGAAATAGTTTTGTCCGATATTGTTTTAAGTAACTTGTTGTGTTTTATCATAAAAAAATTGACAGTTGTTTGTCAAAAATTTTGTTATCGACATTGAGCTATTACAACGTACTAGAGACGACACTGCATTCAGCTACTCTGTTCCACTCAACCAATACGTGCAGCTCTTCTAGTGGCATGAGTTGTTGAATTTAGTTTACAGACTTGTAAATAGTCGCGCGGTTAACATTGCTTGTATTATTTTACTTATGATATAAGTAATTAATAAAACATGTCTGCAAAACCTAGTTTTTCACGTGGTTCATTTGTGCTGTATATGGTTGCAAAATTATAAACAACTAAAAGACCCAAAATCATTCTTTAGTGCCCAAAGTTTTGGAGAGATTAGTTGTATGAAATTTTTGTTAAACAAATGTCATAATAGGCTTGTATTTCGTTTGTTGTACTTATTAATAAATTTCCTTTTAGATTGAAGCAATGGATTGTGGCTTGTAAAAAAACTGACCTGGATAATTTGATGAAAATTAAAGATACTGATTATTTTTCCAACAATTATGTTGTTTGTTCAGATCATTTTGATGAAGAATGTTTTCGAAATAAAGATTTATACAGCCAGGAGTATGTTGTCGATATGTAGATGGTATAATATTTATGTAATGAATATGTTTTTTCCATACTAATTTGTGCAGATGTACTTATGAAAACTATAATTTTTTAGGTTAATGCCAGGTTGAGTACCAACCTTGAAGTTGTATAATAAGAAAAATATAATAAGTAAAGAGATGATGTCTACGTGAAATAAATTTAGACTGTTCAATAAGGTATAACTTTCTGTCTTACATAGCCAAATTTTAACATTTCCATTATTATGTTTGTAAGGATTTAGTAAAAAACTACATAGTATGTGTGCCTTTTTTGTTGCAGTTCTAAACAGATCATATTGATCTCGGTAGACCCGATATTGAACACCCAAGAACAACATGAAAACAATACCTAATTTTGCAAATTTGCAAACAGAAATGCTAAATTTACATCTTGTTATAGATAATCATAAGAAAACACTAGTTTAATACCTCTAGTTTATTATCAAAATGTAAAAGTTTAAGCTCCAGCTATGTGTAAAAATAAGTGAATATCTTTTGCAAAGAGAACAAATCGAGCAAAAACACAAGTGTTACTGTCTCAAAAACAAAGTTTTAACCAAGCACATTATCCTGTTAGTATTTCTGAAAAGAATTCGGAATAGGTACTATGTTTTAGGTTGGGTATATAGTTGGCTGCCACATGATAAACGTAAAAAATTTGTATGTAGCCTAGATAATGATTTTATAGCTTAGAAAATACACAAATAGAGAATGTCAAGAGAGTGTCAGACATTATCTACAAAATTGTCAAAGAAAATACAGACAATTACTTAAAAATTTCTGTAAACAATATTAAAGGTAGATTAATTTTAAATGTATATGGACAAATAAATATTTCTAAATGCGATGAATGTATAATATTATTTTTAGACAACTGTTTTAACGTTCTGCTAAAATCATACGTAAATAAGTTTAATCAGTCGCGCAGTAGTTTGAAGTCTTACTTACTTACTTCCGTTGGTGCTACAACCCTTTGTGGGTCTTGGCCTCCTCAACAATCTTCCTCCAGTTGTCACGCTGCCTGGCTACCTTCTTCCAGCTGGTAAACTTTCCCATCTTCCTGAGATCTTCTTCCACACAGTCACTCCAACGCTTTTTAGGCCTGCCTCTCG